TTTTTTTTTTTTTTTTAAATTTGCTGCCTGAATATCACTTTACAACATTGCCAATTTGGTGACTGGACTTTCCAAGGGAGAGAGCTGTGAATTAGTATGGGCTTGGAGGGCCAAGTCTGTTCTTGTTCAGTTTCAGATGCAATTTAGTTGTTTATCCTTACATCATCTTCCTGCTAATATCAGGCAGTTCAAAAAAACTGCACAGGTGGAGGAGATAATAGGGTTTATTTAAAAAAAAATACAAAAGGCTGCTTTATGATGTTGCTTTCTTCATTTTGATGTTAAAGTTAAGTCATATGCTTGTTTATCTGTTATGATTTATTAGCTGTCTGATTGTATTTGTTCAAAAGAAGTGCTTTTTAAAAATGTCTGTTCTTATTTGGTTAACTAAGGACCCTATATCCTACCCTTTCTGAGACTTGATTAGCATAAGGGAAATGGATTGTGGTCCACTGTACTGCTGCCACTCCAACCCCAACTTCAGTAGAACTCGTGAATACCATATATTTGATTGGTGGTTCAGACCAGAAATTAGTACATCTCAAATTGGTGGCATGCACTTTGTATGAACAATATATATTTTTAGGCAAGCATTTGGGTTTAAAATTCCCATGGGTAGGCTGCCCAGACCTGCTGTTAGATTGCAGGATTCTTAAATTTTTTTCTCCATATTGCAGTGTAGGTACTGGAAGGTACAGAAGATCCTGTAGACAACTTGTAACATCTGAAAAAGCAATCAGTAAGTGAATTTAGAAGACTGTTGGAGGATGGGAATCACAGTCTGATTCACGACTGCATCTCTGCAGACACATGTTCAGGTGTTGCACATCCACTTATCACCCCATCATCAGGCAAAGGGCTTGAAGGCAGGTTTGATGAGATGGGTGTTATGCAGCTTTGACTGCTGTTACCAGTCAGACTTTAGGTAGATGGGACAACCAGCACATGTCCAGTTTTTACTTTCAAAGCCAGAGCTTTGCTTTATGCTGCATGTGACTCTAAAGGAATTTGTACAGAAATTATATGCTTTCATGGACATTTATGGTAATAATTAATTTTAATCTCTCTTGAGCTTCATGATGTAAAACAGCGTGTTCTTGTGCTGCTTGCATTCAGGCTGCTAGCCTGATCTGCTTTCTCTTTTGGGGATTTGGCAGTATTCATCCACCCAGTGAGATGATAGGGAATGGTAGTCCACATTATTTTATTTCTGGTGCTAAGAATATTTTGTGCAAGATGCCATGTGTTGTGCTGAGACATTGTATAGCATGATATATATACTTTGGAAATAAGGTGTGATGATTGAGAGTGGATTGCACTGTTTTATCCTGACTTTTGAATGCCACCAATAATGATCGCTCCAGTAGTGTGGCTGGGACTGAGTCGTACCTTGGGACTATGACGGGCAGCTGGTAGACACTGGTAGGTCATCTGTTTCCCAAACTGGTGTGAGAGGAGGAGGAGGTCAACGCAGAGATGTGTTGTCTCCCGTTTCAAAGAGGTAGCTCATCATTTGAACAATTGGAGGAATGAGGGGCATATTTGTTATTCAGCTGTCATCAAGAAGTTCTGTAAATCTTTCTTTGTGCTATAGAGAGGCTGCCTGTTTCTTGGTGATCAGAGAAAAATCTCCAGGATATTATGGGAAAGGAGGAAAAGCCAGTGCAGATTTTCTTGGATGTGCACTGTGTCATGTCGATGCTTTATTGTACTGTGTGTTTAGCACTAGCAGCTATTTATTTGTGATCATGCTCATGTTTTTAAGGACTTGATTGTGGTAGTAGTATATATTCTTTTTACAAATGAAGAAAGTATGGCACAAAGTGGTGGAACAATGCAAGTCCTTGTTCGGAGGTGGGATGCATCCAGTGGATCTTATTCCTCTGATCTCTAATGTAGTCTGCGTAATTTGAGTAGAGATATTCTTAACAGAACTTAATGTGGACAGTGTGCTGAATTATTACTTAAAAATACAAGCTATTCTTTTTTCTTCAAGATCTTGTCTGATAACTGGCAAGAAGGAAAGCATCTAAGGCTTTTAAAGATATTTAACCGTAGAGCATGATGCTCTTTGGGCTACAGCAATCCCTAAGAGATGTTATACCTATGCCCTTACATGTAGTATCCTTCCCACATACTCAGCCTTTGTGTGAATAGTTAGTGAACCCGATCTGGGAACTAGTTCACATTATAACGGACTGTTGTTTTTGACTGGGTTAATTTTTGTCAATGGAGAAGTTCCTCACTCCATCTCAAAAATGCTGCTGCTGGCACAAATGAATGGGTGGCCCAGAAGTGGAATTGAGGAAGGGATCAGGTTTTTTTGGTGGAGACATCATTGTCTGCTTGTACAGTGCTTGTGTTCCTCAGAGCTTAACTCACACCTTTCCCAGCTGGCCGGTGGAAGAAAGAAACGCTACATTTATGTGTTCTTTACTCCCTTCTTATGTTAAAACAAATACTTCTTATTTCAGTGCTTTCACTAGCTATTGAAAACCATGTCTGACAACGGAGAACTGGAAGACAAGCCGCCAGCTCCTCCTGTCCGGATGAGCAGTGTTATCTTCAGTTCAGGGGTCAAAGACCAGTTGTCTGTCAACCACAGTTTGAAACCCCTGCCCTCTGTACCTGAAGAGAGAAAACCTAGGAATAAAATCATCTCCATATTCTCTAGCACTGAAAAAGGTAAGATGGTTCCGTTTTCCAAGGTTATTACTTGTATTCCGTCACTCTTGTAAATTTTGATAGTACTTTAGAGTCCATCCTGTCCAAGTGTGGGGGACTGGAAGAGGTGTTGAAAGTTGGATACGTGCTTTCAGTGAGCTGAGATGTTCTTTCTGTTTGCACTAGGATGTTTGTAGATGAAATGCTAACTAAGAAAAATTACATAGCTCACTGAGGATATCCACCACATTTTGTTTCTTATGTTTGCTACCCAGTTTGAAGTAATACATTTCCAAACAACCCTAATAAATGTGATTCCTGAGTATCATATTACTTACCATTTTGCAATGCTAAATGCAGGTTTGTAGTTTAAACTGAACGTCCAGCTGTTTAGCCAGTTACTTTATGCTGATTCACATTTATGTGATTTCTTTGAGAGAAAAGATAGTAGAGAAAGAGTGAGAAGGATACAGTGTGCATGAAGGAAAATTGAGAAAAATTAAGTCCTGTCTAACTGCACTGTTAGAATTAATTATTAGTGGGGGAAAAATCTGGATTGCTGTAAACAAGAATTATTTTTAAGAAAAAAATTGCTGTAATAACACTAGACTATATTTGTGCTTTGTTTCTGTTTTCTGTGTGTGTGTACAGCACTGGAGCCCTGTTCATGGTTCTCAAAGATGTCTGTATCTGTGTAAAACAAAGTAATGCATAGATAGAAATATCTTCTAACATCTGGTACAGTAAAACTGTGCAGTGACTTATAAGCCTGGCCTGAAACTGCTGTGCATTTTATTAATCTCTACCATATAGCATTTTTATGATTACTATTAAGATGCACAAAGGGAAGACCCTGCTGCTCTTAAAGTCTTCTAGTTCTGCCCTTGGCTTCCTGCGCCTCATGGCTGATGTGCTGGGCAGGACTGGTTCAGTCATGCCGGCACAGGTTTGACTGTTTCAGGCGACTCTGCTTCTCTGGTTATTTGTTTGCTTGGCTAAGTATTTTCCCCAGGGCTGGTTTTTACTCTTGCTCAGTTGTGTGAGCAGTCCCTCTGCAGCCATGCCTCACCCCAGAGACAAACGCTAGAGGCGAGCTTCCCTGTATTTGGAAGATCTGTCTTCCCATGATCTGGCAAAAGTGTCTGCTCTCAACAGTGGGTGTGTCTTCCTTTTTGGAGGATGGAAGGATTTGGCCAGTGTAGCTTTTGGAAGCAGAATAGTTATTTCACAAGGTCAATTATTGTGAAATAACTGTCCATGGATGGATTACAGCAATAGATGTGGTGGTCCTTTTTTACTGGCATAAGTAAGCCTTAAAGAGGTGAGCCAGTAAGGAGAACATGAGCAGCTACTACAGGTTGTGGCAGCACCCCAAGAGAGAGGCTCCAGGCCTCTGCTGTTGGTGAAGGTGATGGTCCTGGCTGCTGTTCGCTATTCAGCATCAGTGCAGTGCCACGTGTCTGGAGCAGGTTCTAGCTTAGCCCTTCAAGTCTACAGAAAATGGTGTTTTACCGTTATATCGTTGGTCGTGCAAGGAAATGCCTAGAAATAGTTGTGGCAAGTGCTGCAAGAAAATCTTGTGAAAGGATCAAGTCTGTCCATCTGCAGACTAGGAGAACGGTTTAGGAGCTGGGACGGCGCTTGTCATTGTGCTGTTGCATTGATCATTAGTCAGAGTGTTTGTAGCCCTTTTTTACAGACGGGGATGTAATAAAGTAGAACATAAAGCCCACATGAAGAAAGATTTCCCTTGCTTTGAATTAGTAATACTGTCTAAGACTTGTTTGTGATGTGAAATGAATTGAATTCAAGTGGGTACAACACAGATGGAGAGCTTTGGGACATTTTATAGTGCCTTTACTTCTCCTTGGATGTCTTCTTTTTCCATCCTGATGGTGGGTTTGTTTGTTGCTGAAATGGCCAGGGAGGTGATTGAAGACTTGACAAAAGTTGTATTAGCTTATCTGAAATTGCTTTGGAGTCCCATTGCCTAACCTTATTCAGACCACTCTGTAAATACTGACATGTACCAAATTTATGGAAATTAATCTACATACTTGTTTAACTTGTATACAAACTAAAAATAGAAGCAATAATTTCTGCTGAGGAATGTACATTTTGGAGGAAATGGTGTAAGTTTGTTTTCTAGCTGTTAAAAAGTACTTAAAGCAATGTCATTCTGAAAAAAAAGCAGCTTTTACTGCATGGCAAGATCATGTGGTTAGGGAAAATGGTAATTCAGTTCCTTAAGCTAAGTAATTCAAAGTTTTATTTTTTTAATTTGGAAAAAAATTGTCGATTGGGTGACCCACATCAAGGATAAGGTGAACATCCAAATAAATGGTTTTGGTCCTGAAGACGGCAAAACAGGATGTCAAATCTAGGCAGAATGTAAATTGACACAGTGACTTTCTGGCACTGAAGCAATAGTCAAATGTTAGTTGTTTCTTTTTTCATTAGCGTAGATGAGGTGCACCAGCATCAGAAATGCCCATTTAAATACTTTTTTTTAGCTTTCTGAGTGGATTAAAAAAATGTATTGGAACTATATGCAAAATAATCTGTCAGCCTGGGGTAGAAATATTTTCATGGAAAAAATTTGTCCAGCCAGGGCAACAAAAATTACAAATTGCTACAAAAATGGTAAATTCTCCTTTTCAGAAAAGGAAGGGATGCCTTACCAGGAGATGTACAGTGCTACTGCAAACAGACCTGTTGCTGGATAACGTGCTTTGGCTTTGTGCTGCTGATCTCTGTCTGCGTGATCTTGCAAGGTCCCTCCTTGACAGCTTCATCTTCCCCACCTCCCTGGGTCCTCACTGGGGAGGTGGTGTCCTTCGGACATCTGCTGCAGACAGTGGGCTTTAGCAAATGCAGTTTCTGCCCCAAGTCTGAGCTAGTGCTGTGCTGAGACAACAGTAAGAGTTTGAAGAGGTTATTTAATAACTTAATCATGGAGATGTTTTTTCCCCTAGTTCCATTGTTTAGCATAAATGAAGTGATAGTCATCTTTTTACTAGATTATATAATTGCCACGAATTTCCTTGACTAGGCTTTTGAAGTCAAATGAACCTGCATGTGTTTTTGGAAAGCTTTAAAATAGTCCCCTAAACCAAGAAGGGATTGTCTTTGGGCAGAACTTATTAAAGGAGGGGCTGTGGGGCATTGCCCAGGACCAGGGATGGTGCAGGAGATGTGCTCAAGACTGATGGCTAAGGACACGTTTCATTGTGGCTTCAGCTGCAACTCAGGAACTCAAAGTGCAGCGTTAGGGAATGGTGGGAATTGAGGGATGTGCAACAACGGGTTTGTGATGCAGGAGGGCATGTGAAGTACCTTAGTGATGCCTTGCTGAGTGCCTGTGGCTTCATTCAGGGAAGAGTCTAATTGTATTTGATGCACTTTCGTAATCAGCTGATTCAGCTATATGCTCTGTAAGCCCACAGAAATTTTAATCAGACAGAGTAATTTTCCAATTTACAGAATCCTTCTAAAGGGCCTACCTATGTCTTACCCCTCTCAGGAACAGCGTGAATATGTGCTGCTGTCTCTGCAGGGCAAACAGACCACATGACAGATTCACTTACTGTTTGAAATGAGCATTGACTTTGATTCCTATTTAAGCACAGAACTGTGATGCAAACATCATCAAGAAGCTGAAAAGCAGCGTGACCTCACAGTGGCCTTATTTGCAGAGCCCCGAGTATGTCCTGCCAACACATGACTTGTGAAGACTTGCCTCTTTACTGAAGCTCACTGCTTACGTTTGTTTGAAGTGGTGCTCTGATCTGCTGTTCCTTTGAGCAGAGGACTGATTTTTAGTCTGCTTGCCTGGTCTGCTAAGATCTGTGTATTTTTGGAAGGAGTAGGTTTATTTGTGCAACATGTGCTAGAGGATTTGAGCACTATCTCTTGTTCCCTACATGTCATGTGCTCCCTCAGGAACCTACCTTCCTGAGGAATAGAACTTTTTTTTTCTTTTTTTTCAGTATTTTTTTTCCCACTTGCTTTTACATAAACAATGCCAAGAGGTTGGGAAGAAACAGTGCTTTCCTTAAAGGTTCTCGCATTAAGCAAGTTTCTCCTGTCCTGTGACTGAGTGATGTTAATGAGAACATCTGACAGTCCATTTGCTTTTTGGCTCTGATCTATGTAGCCATATGAAAGATATCCTGTTTATAATAGCTGTGTCTTTCCACTGCATTGTTCAGCTGGAGGCAGCCCACATGGCTTTTCATTTGTAAGTATTGTCCTCGGCTCGCCGTCCTTCCTCTCTGGGCAGTGTGAGGGGATTTCAGATGGATTCTCTGGCTCTGAGCAGCAGGATCTATGCTTGCCTCATGTCCAGTAACTTTTTACCCTGTCATAATGAACAGGGTGCTGTTTTAGCTGTTCTTTTTCTGTACTGAAATTATACAACTTTTAAGATGAATTTGAAAACAAAGCAAAAAGCCTCTTTTTTTGGCATACAAACATAAAATGGTAATCAAGTTAGATTGCAAAATGGTGTGCTGCTTTCCTTTGTGGTTGTGAGCACTGTGGCATTCTTGCAGGCTTCATGCATGCTATAATAAATGCAGCTGATTCAGCTGTATGCTCTGTAAGCCCACAGGAATTCCCAGGATTACACATGCAGTTTTCTTGGTATCAGGTTAGATACGCTCTACAGTGCATCACCAGGCCTCAGCCTTTGAGCAGAGGATGGTGAGGTGAGGCCTTGAGCATCATCTTTCTACCTGGAGAGCGAACGCTAACTACACTGCTCTGGCAGGGAAGGAAAGGTGGGCTCAGGCTTTTTTGCAAGAACACAAAAACAGATTCCTGAAACCTTTCACCTTAACTTTTTCTGAGTAAAGGGAAGAGAATGTATTTTTATATTTAGAGTTAACTACAAATTGTTTCCCATTTTTATTTCTTTTCTCTTTGTCAGAAAAAATAACAAAAACACAAACCCCAAGCCCCAGGCGTGATAAAACATCTTATAAATGTAATTGAATCTAAGTTGGATTCTGCACATGGTCCTTCTCATTATCTGTTCATGTTTCTGGTACTTATTATGCTTGCTTCCCCACCTTTTAATTTAAATTAGGTAATTGCTCTGAGGCTATAAACCCTTATCTTCATCACAGGAAGTCCTACTTTGCATTAATTAGCTTGAATTGAAGCAGTGAGGCAACTGAGTTTTAACTGTCTTTAGGGTGAACTTGAGGTTGAACTGAAGTTATCTTAGGTGTTGTTTTTAATCAGTATTAAAATGTGCTTTTTTGCCTTGTAAACGTTTCCTATGTTTGGATTTCATGTGCTCAGCAGAGCTTCTTGCACTCTGATGTTCTTAATCTCTTATTTTCTTGCTACCATAGTATTAATTATTTGAATGGAAATAGTTGATTATTATATGAAGTCTATATCAACTTGAAAATACCAAATCACTGTGCTCCGTATGTAAACGCTTCCATCCAGTAAACAGAATAATGGTTACGTTAATCCAAACTGTTGTAATGCTTCGATTGATTGTATTAAATGGAGACAATATGACTTGAAGTCATGGCTCAGTAGATCTTTGAATATCTTTTTCAGGAAGCAAGAAGAAGGAAAAGGAAAGACCAGAAATCTCCCCACCATCAGATTTTGAGCATACCATCCATGTTGGCTTTGATGCTGTTACAGGCGAGTTCACTGTAAGTATACCTGCCTTGGAGTTGCTCAGAAAACAGCTGTGTGTCAGTGCTGTAATGAAGCCATTACGGATGTTTTAGAATAAAGTGCAAGTCAGTCCTAGTTTTTATCAAAGGAGTAATTTTACTATGTGTTTATACAGCATGCAGAGTAATGAGACTGTGACCTGTTAGTACTTCTGCAGTGTAAATGTCAGATCTGATGCTTTGTATTGCCTGGGAGAGCCTTCCCTGAGAATCCCTCTTCAGTTTACTTTCATTAGTGGGTAACACTGGTTCTGTTGAGCTCTTATATTCCCATTCCTCACATCTGGCTTAATACACCTGAAAGAGGAGTGGTGTCATGTTTGTAGAGTGATTTGTGTTGCGTCACCTATGCACATAGGGCTCCCTATTAAAACCCCATCCTGCTTGTTCGTATATTTAGCGCTGTGCATGTTAGGCTTTTTATAGAGGAAAGAAGTTTTTTCAGCTTCTTAAAAATCTTTAGAATATGAGAAGGACGCTTAAAATAGCCTGCTTTTTTTTCAGGGAATGCCAGAGCAATGGGCTCGGTTGCTTCAGACCTCAAATATTACAAAGCTAGAACAAAAGAAAAACCCCCAGGCGGTACTAGATGTGCTGAAATTCTATGACTCCAAAGACACAGCAAAACAGAAGTATCTGAGTTTTTCCGCTCCAGGTGAGATTCAAGTGTGTGCAAGACGTATTGAAGCGTAGTTGGCTATTTGGAACACAGTCTTCCTCTACTGCAGAATAATAAATCAGATTCAAATACTGAAAGAGCAGGCTACTTTTCAATGAACAAATATTTGAAGGTGGATTTCAGCTTACTGGAAAGTGATGTTGTCCAGTTAATTTCTTGTTTTAAATGGAGAGGGGAAGAAATGGCACCGGGTAACTCAAAATAACAGCCAAATTTACTTGAATGGGCTGTGTTTATGAAGCTGGGGCTCTGAAACTGTGATTAACTGGTTTCGTGTTGGAGACCTAGCTCCTTGTGCCTGTGGCCAAAAATCTGTGGACTTGATGTCACCATGTAGTGACATCAAAGATGCCAAATAAGTTGTGGCTCCTAGATCTGGCACCATATGGGGGCACCGAGAGAGTGACCGTCCTACAAACAGATGTAGTTTTGTCCAGTTTTCTTCCAAATTATTTCTGAAAATATCTTAGTAATAAAGCTTTGTAATATTCTCATCCTTTAATCAAGATACTGCTAAGGGAACAGAAATACCTGTTTGATTCTGATTTCACACGTCAGTAAGACAGTATATAAGTTTGATGAGCAGTGCTCAATTTCTAAAATGGTGTGTGGGTGCTGAAGTGAGGTGAAGAGCAAGCTGGGAAATGAGTGGGGAGGAGTTTAGAATCTAACAGCTTCCTTCTGTGTGGTCTTGAGTTTCTCTCATTTGCGACTATGAAATTTTGCTTTTGGAGAGATGAAAAAGATCTCCAAAGCAGCCTGTGTTTTTACTCTGTAAAGCTCACTTTTTATTACTTTTCTGATGATACGTATTCTGCTATTTGTCCTATTTAGAAAAAGATGGTTTCCCTTCAGGAACGCCAACCGTGAGTGTATTTACTCTTCTTTGTATATTTTTAGGTGCATATAAGTTCAGGTCTTCTGTATTTGTTATATGCTGAATCTTGCAGTATAAAAAAAATGAAGTAGTTTTGGAAACAAAAACATAAAGCGGGAGACCAACAAAACATATTTCATTGAAACAATAGTATTTGAGTCTCATAATAAAGTGTAATAGGGTACTTAAACCACTCAACCTTTTCTATTGACATCAGTAAGAATTCTTCTATCTCAATGTGAAAAAATGGAAAAAAGCAAACTCAAAAGTCTTTAACACTGTGAGGGAGACAACTTCAATTTATTTTCTTTTTTTAACTTTGGTAAAAATGTAGACCAATGCCAAAGGTTCAGAACCATCAACAGCTGTGGCAGATGATGATGAGGATGATGAAGAAGCTCCTCCTCCTGTTATTGCTCCACGGCCAGATCACACAAAATCGGTGAGCAGCTCTAAAATTTACAGTGCAGGCCTGCATTTCTTAGTATTGCAGAACTACTTCTACTCTGCTTTCTTGCAAAGTGTTATATGTAAGTTTTTAGGGAAAATTTTTGGGTTTTGAGTCTGCTAAGAAAATGCCTAATTTCTGCATATCAGTTGGAACAGAAGTCTTGAATTTAATGCTGATTTGTTTGTCAGCTTGTGTTGAAGGTATCCAGTTATACTTATCCTTCAACCCAACATGCAACCAGGAGGCTTTTTAGCCCTAAAAAACTATAGCTAGTTTCTGTAATTGTGCACAGTACAGTCGTACAAGTGTATTTTATATATTTTTATTTTATTGCAGTGTGATAGCCTCATGAGATATACTACCTAAAGACAATTCAACCTTAAGATTTGAAAGCTTATTTCACTTGCAAAGTCATGAGCATTGCTTGAAAAGTTAAATGCTTAAGAAGTTGTTCACTAAATCTTAGTGTAGCCATCCTGAACCACACACCTTGTTGATAATGTCACAGTGACCCCACTTACTCCAGCTTATTCTTTTTACTGTGGTAGGTATACATTTTGCTGCTCTGTTGCCCACTTATTTTCACTCCAGGAGTGCAAATGTGAACATGTTTATTTGTCAAGTGACATTGTTTTATAATTGCACACTCTGGGTATGTAGACCTATGAAACGTGACAGGTCTACAGTTTGAGATTTCTGGAGTAGCTGCATATGTCTATGAACAGCTCAGAAGGAAACTAAATAAAGCTCCTTGAAAATCTCCTAAACTGAGGGCAACAGGGAAATTTCTGATAGTCTTATGCTTGTTTTCATGGCAAACCATGAATCTTTTTCCTTTGGATCTTAATAGTAGTTAATCTGACTATTAAATAATGATTTCTGTTAACTAGTGCAAGTTATAAAGAATAAGCAGGTAGAAAACGGACAAAATGTCTGTCTGTGGAAGGTGGAGTCAATCTAGCATCCACTCTGTTCAGGAGGTGTCTGAGTCTGTCCTTCAGAGGTCAGTAAGGTTGCCAGCATCTTGACTTAGTGGACTTTGATGTTTCTCAGCTCTAATTTCTACCTCCAGCCTCTTAGGCAGAATGCTACTTTAGGGATATTTAAAGAACTGTGGTTGTTTTCAACTGAAGGTCAACGATTGCAAAGAAAATGCTCAGGGAAATGGTCTCTCTTGACAGATTTATACACGGTCTGTGATTGACCCCATCCCTGCACCAGCCAGTGACACTTCTGTTGACAGTGTGTCAAAATCAGGTGATAAGCAAAAAAAGAAGGCCAAGATGTCAGATGAAGAGATCATGGAAAAACTGCGTAAGTGTTTTTTTGTTTCAGATAACAAAGGCTTTAGGACTGGGGGAGGAATATTAAGTTTTCGCCCTTGTTCATATTTTTTAGATAAGGGTTGTGTGAATCCTGTGCTTGAGTGGCTTTGTGTCGGTAGCTGAGAGGGCTGCATTTAGAAGTTTTGCTAATTTATATGCTTCATAGTCCTATTGAGTAAAAAAAATCGTAGAACAGTTTTCTTGTATTGAAGTTCAGTTGTGATAGCACGATCTGCATGTGTAATACAATCATAATAACACAAAATATTTTCTGCTGTTTCTTGTTCCGTAATCATAACCTCATATTGGGTTTTGCTACAGGGAAGACTGTAGCATGATCTATCTCCTTAAGAGCATAACCTAGTCTATTGATTGTCTGAAGTTGGCCATTTGTGACTGGAACTGAATGGGGAAGCTTTGGCTGTTCATGCATCAGCCATTCAGCCATTGTTACTTGAACTTGACTCACTCTTGGAGGTATCTTGGCTGGACCAGCTCTACTAAAAGAGGACAGCTGGAATGAACTTTTTTTATTATTATTTTTTAGGCACTATTGTGAGCATAGGAGATCCCAAGAAAAAATACACCAGATATGAAAAAATCGGGCAGGGGTAAGTGATCACCTCAACTATTATTCCCAGAGAGGCAGTGTTAAAAGCAGTGAACTGTTCTCTATCTTACAGTCACGTAGCCACCACTCACTGAAGGAGGAAGAAATGCTGGCAGTATTAAGCAGTTACAAACAGACGGTGAAGACTTTATACAGTGATGAAGTGTTGATTGTGTCTTTTAATGCAAAAGTGTAGCTCTGCAATTTCTCTGTGGGTGTATCTAGTCCTGTCCCAGTAAGATATGTTAATCTGTTTTCATGGAATTGTAGAATTGTTTTGTTTAGAAAAGGCCTTTAAGATCATTGAGTCTAACCATTAACCTAACACTGCAAAGCCCACCACTAAATCAGCAACACCCCCAGGTGTCCAGCAACACCCCCAAGGGCTTTTCTGCTGGGCAGGTTTTCAACCACTCCGCCCTACACCTATGGTGTTGTCTGGGGTTGTCGTGGCCCAAGTGCAGGACCTGGCCCTTGGCTGTGTTGAACCTCATACAACTGGCCTCAGCCCATTGATCCAGCCTGTCCAGGTCCCTCGGTAGAGTCTTCTCACTCTGAAACAGATCAGGACTCCCACCCAGCTTTGTGTTATCTGCGAACTTACTGAGGGTGCACTCAAACCCCTCATCCAGATCATTGATAAAGATAGGAAACAGAAGTGGCTCCAGTACTGAGCCCTGGGGAACACCACTTGTGACTGGTTTTGTAGTATGACTGCTGAATAGCATGAAGGCTTTCTGTGTGCTAAGCTAACAATACTGCCTGGACTAAGTTATTCTTTTAGTGGTCCTCTGAATTGTTCTGAGAAAAAAGTGTATGCAAATTCTAGCTTTGATTATATATATAGGTACACACATATAAGCCTGACTCCTACTGTATACTTTCCAAATTAGGTCTCTGTGTGTTTGTGGGCAGGCTTCCTCTGGAGGAAAGTTAAAAGTAATACCTTCTCCAGAAAGGGCTGCCCAGCTTGTCTGATCCTAGGGAGCAGCACAAGTTCTGGGGGCTTAGGGAGCCTGAGCACAGGGGGCATAGATGGTGTTGGAAGAGAGCATATTTGAGATTAGTTTATGTGAACTGACTAGCATTTCTGTCATATCACTTTTTTTTAGTAACCTTCTTTTTGACAGAGCTCTTGCAATGTCGAAAGCTGACACAGTTTTGTTTCTGATTCGTCTGTTCACGTGTGTGTTTGTTACACAGAGAGATGCAACTGGCTGTAGTGTGTTTTTCTTCTTCTTCACAGGGCTTCAGGTACAGTTTTCACAGCTATTGATGTGGCAACAGGGCAGGAGGTAAGACTTATGGATGTAGTACAATGAAAATACTTTCTCTGTATAAATATTCTTTCTGTAGGTTGCCAAAATTATTTGACTGATTTTTTTTCTGTGGCTGCCATCTCTGCTCTGACCTCTCAGAATAATTTTTGTCACAGTCATTTGTTAACAGTGAATGCCTCGTTCTGTAGTAATCAGATGATGAAAGCTAAAAAGTCTTGTCTTTCCAGTGAAAAGCAGAGAGAGTGAGGTGTTCCAGAAATGAATTTTGAAAATAGTTTATCCTTTAAGGTTTGCTGTCAATGGTGTCCTGCATTTTCAGAAATAGAACTTTGTTTAGTGTTTGCACCCTTGTTCTCTAGTGCTATCTCAGTTGAGGTGATGATTACCCCTATCTGTATGGAAACTGCTTGCCTCATGCAATTCTTTTGTGAAGTTGTAATGCCTTCTCCACATCCTGCTCTTTGCTTTTACTCCTTGTTGTCTCCAAAGCCTCTTGGTAAAATTGATGACATCAGCAATAACTCTGCATGCTTGTCATCCAGTGGTCATCTCTATTCCCATGACTAAAATTTGAGGAATTATTTGCTTCTCTTTAAATTCAGATTTCCTTGATTTTCCTTTAAATATCTCCAAGTAGCCATTCCTTAGGTCACTGATAATTAACTCCCCTTTCAACAGTAACCCACACTCACCAGTACTGTAGTGGAGCACCACATCTTGATAAAATGCAAGCCTTGCAAACATCTCAGTATGTTGTCTCTTAATTTACTTTCTACATACTACAGTGCTTCATGTCCTCTTACTGACTGCAGAGGGAACTTCGTAGTCCAGTTCCTTTTTTTATACCTCCTCTGCATCTTGTCAGGCACGTTGGTTGGTTGCAGTTGCTTGGTTGCAGTTTTCATGCATTAAAGGGGTGCAATACTCCGGCTTCCACAGTGCTTAATGTCTGAGGATAGAATTGAGTCTGTTCAGAGGTAAGAAGATGTGGCCAAAAGAGGATGGGGTTTTTTTTGCTGTTTTCAGTGGAAGGTGTAGAGAATATGGAGCTAGACTCCTCTTAGAGCTTCACAATGACAGGACATAAAATTTTTTTTTCCCTCACAGTCAGCATGATTAAACATTGGACAGGAGCCCAGAGAGGTTGTGGAATATTTGCTTGTTGAGATCTCCATTCAAAACTCAGTTGCACAAGACCCTTAGCAACCTGCTCCATGTTGGCTGTACTCAAAGCAAGGGACTAGACTGGATGACTTCCAGAGGTCCCCTCCAGTCTTAGTTGTTTTGTGGTACTGTGCCACAAGTTACCTTCTTTTAAAGCCCTTGATAACGATTGTTTCTACAAGATTATTTTGGTTCTTGTGTTTGGTTTTGGACTCCTGGGTAGGTTATGTTGTAATACTCCAAACTGCCTCCTCAAAGTGATGTAGCCAACATAACTGGGATATTCTCCATTTTAAAGACTGGAATATCTGCTCTAGTTAGCTAATTTCCTGGACAAGGTAGGTCTTTATCCACTCTTCTCTCTCTGGGATAGTTCATTGGCTTAATTATTTTGAGAGGAAGCCTCTCAGCATTCTGTATACCCAAACACTAATTTGGTCAGAATACAGAAAAATGAATTGCCATACCTCGCATTGGAAAGCTTATCCTTTCTCTCTTAGTTGCTACATGATTCTTTTTTTGCTTTAGACCTGTTCATACTAAGTTGGTGGAGTATCTTCTTATCCCTTTAATGTTTCAGACCAGCTGTCTGTTCTGGCCTTTGCTATTGCTCATAGAGCTTTTCAGCTGCAAGAGGATGATGTTGGCTATGGGTGCAACTTGCATGCTCTTCAAATTGCATTCTTTTAAGTTGTATGCTAATGATTAAATAACTTGCCAGCTGCAAGATGTGCTAAACTCTTTTAATCCTGTTACAGAGTTTCTTCTAACTTTTCACTGTATTAAGAATCGCCAGAAAATTTTGATACTCAAGTTTGAGTGATTGCTGTGTTATTTTGTTTTGTCCTATTCAGGTTGCTATTAAACAGATAAACCTGCAGAAACAGCCCAAAAAGGAGTTGATTATTAATGAGATCTTGGTGATGAAGGAGCTAAAGAACCCAAACATAGTCAACTTCCTGGACAGGTAAATGCAGACAGCTGGCCAATTCCTTCATCCCCAAGAGTTTCAAAAGGCTATAACTTGATATACTTACACAGACCTGTATTTCCAGTACCTAAGGGTCTTATAAGCAAGTGAGACTTAGACTGTCATCTGAGAAAAAAAAAGTCATCTGTTACAGGGAGTGGTCTTGATAATTCAGTAAGGTTTCTTCTGTAATGAATGCATTGCTACATGTGGTTGGGGACCAGTGGTGGACAAGAGCACAGCTGAAACAATGCTTGTGTTGTGCATGAGATATGTAGGGTGTTATCCTGACCATTTAGGCAATAAGAAGCACGCAGCTTTTATTGTCAGCATTATATTTCAGGCTGCCTTCCAGAGATGACTTTCGTTACTGTTTGCCTTGAAGTACTTACGAATCATTTCTCTTACCAGTCGTTTTTTTCGGTTCTCGATCTCTTAATGGCAAATGGGCATGCTTTTCATTTTCTGTTTGTAGTTACCTCGTAGGAGATGAATTGTTTGTGGTGATGGAGTATCTAGCTGGAGGCTCACTAACAGATGTGGTCACAGAAACATGTATGGATGAGGCACAAATTGCTGCTGTTTGCAGAGAGGTAAGTATTGTAGTTGATTGGTAGAAGAATGAAGGTGCACTCTATTCCCCTAAGTTTTATGGTACACTTGGGACAAATTGCAACAATTATTGGAGCCATTGAGTTAGGAAGAATGAATGATACTGAGAGCAGAAATCAATATTAAAATTACAGAAAATAACAAAATGAGTTTCATTCGGAAAATTGAGGATTTGCAAGTTGTGACGCTTAGGAATGTTAGGTGATGGATCAAATAAAGATTTTGGGTTTGGTACCCGGGTTGCCTAGTTCTGCTGACAGTGTTAATAGGAAGTTGTTAATAATGTGGACCAAAGTTCAAGGAAGAGCAATGAAGAATTTTAGCAGCTGGAAAGAATACATCTTTTAACTTGGAGTAATGACGAATATTCAAAGGCATGAAAAAGAAAGCTGAATATTCATGTATAGGTAACGTAGAAGGTAGAGATGTGAACATACTTTTAAAATAGAAGAAAAAAGCTTTGGAGCATTTTCCAGAAGAAAGAAGGCAACTGTGTTTGCTTGGAGTATGAAAGTGGGATCTGATGAAGCAGGAATACTTCTAAGAAACATATACTAAAATAAAGATGAATTCAATGCATTTTATTAGTTTTGTAGTGTGTGAAATCTGTGACAGTTAAGCTTGCTTTATGGATTTCATAGAAAAACAGTTCTACGGAAGGTTATAGTTAGAATAATTTTAAGATTGCAGTAAGACTTCAAATGGAAGAGTTTAAAAATATTTGATTTCACAGCTTATCAGTGCTTTCTGTCCTGAATCAGAGTGCCAGCATCCAGTTCAGTCTTGATTCATTATAGCAGAAGAAGTAATTGTATTATTTACTGTCCAGGAGAAACTGGACTTCACTGTCCAGAGAAACTCAGTCTTTTAAAAACGCAATTTGACTACATCAGGGTGACGTCCACCTTTGATGACTCATGGAAAGGGAGGGGATGGAGAGCAAACTTGTACATGAACGTGTATGTACAGGTAGTGGTTTCCAGAGAAACCGGAGCTGGAAGCCAAAAACCGAAAGTAACTATTTACTGTAACAGTAATTAGCTTTTCTGAGGGAAAAGTCTAACATCTAACTATTGTACTTCATCAAAACTCTGCTGCACACTGTGTTAGATATGCTTCATTCTGCAAATCATTGCCACTTTGCTAAAGCAAATGAAGACATAGAAAACTCACCGGGGACTTCATTCATGCCAAGTTGCAAATGGTGAATGTTCTGCTTATATAAAAAGAGAAAAATCTTGCTTTTCTTTTTTTTGCCTTTTCTCAAATAGCAAAAGTAAATTTTATTATGTTTTTAGGCAGAAACTTAGTGTGAAAGGTTTTAATCTAAAACCAATGCAAACTCCCTGTTAGTGACTTTCATAATGAAGGTGTTTTACAGCCTTCACTGTAGGGTAAGTTGCATGCATGTTGAGAATGAAGTCTCACCGGTTCATCTTAGTGAGACTTTGGGATAAACAGCTCTCACTTAAACCTTTATCCTTTATTCTGTAAAATATGTGGGTTCTACCAAAATTAACGTCTAGGATTTTTGGGAACATCTTGGATGATGAGTTTAATTTATGGGTTTGTTAAGATAGCAGAGAAACTCCATGGTTAAATGATTTTTGACCCAGTGAGATCTGGAGAGGATTTCTTAGAACAAGAGCTTCCTCTGCTGGTTATTTTAAATAATACCTATTATATCTTTGAACTCAGAACTTAAAGGTGTATGCATTGCTTTTGAATTTGTGTTTGCATACACAGATTGTGTTTCGATATGCTGAAATTGTGTTTTGTTTTGTTTTTTTCGCCCATCCAGTGCTTGCAAGCCCTTGAGTTCCTGCATGCCAACCAGGTCATCCACAGGGACATTAAGAGTGACAATGTGCTGTTAGGAATGGATGGATCAGTTAAACTGAGTGAGTAGCAGACTCCCTTTCCCAGTACACTTTGACTTGTAAAGGGTAAATCAGTAGAAGGAGAGTTGACAGGGAAATTTTAAATTAATTTTTCTTGACAATGAATAATAAAAATTCATTCTGTATTATAGAATGTATAACTCGAAAGTAGCAGGTATTGAAATTCTGAGAGCCCTAAGACTTAAGGCTGTGAACGTGTTAGGCTGGAAGGATGTTGAAACAAACCTTTTGCCACATGAATATGTTGGTAAATATGAAGTAACTAGCACCATACAGTGAAGCAAAGATGTGAATGATTGCAAGAGAAAAGTTGTGGCTAACTGCCATTGCTTTGTTAGTCTCTTCAGGTTGTCATAACTTGCTTTTTATGTTTTGCCCCTTTCATTAGAAAGTCACTAACAAGAAAATTGTACATTATTAACCATTTATATTGCAGTCTAGTCTTATGCTGCGCCTGTACTGAGTCTCCTTTTCTTGGACTGAAAGTGTAACACTTTCATTAATATAATCATGAAATGACAAAAGAAACTACTTGCTTTTCAGGTAATTGTTATGCATGCATGGACTTGTGTACAGTAAGTTAGTTTCTGGTGTGTGTAAACATGTGTGGCAGTAAAAAATGTAAAACCACTTGAAGAAGCTGTCAGGACCTTTGCGAGGGAGGTGCATTATCTGACTTCTCGGTATGTAGGAATGTGCAAAGCATAAAGTGACCAAAGAGTTCTGGGGTGGTGTTTTTGCAGTTGTGTAGGAATTTGAGATGCCATGAAAATGTATCTCAGCAATATTCCTTAATCTAGGTGGTTTGCAGTCTCATAGTATTTATGAGATGGAGTGTGAAGAAAGATTATAAGCAACCCCATTTAGTCACCAGCGTTGTTGGGTGCACTGCTTGCTCGCAGAGGAGGTTTTATTTCTTGTTAAGGGTGTGATGCGTTTGTGTACAAAGTATGTGGATTCAAAGGCTGAAGATTAGTGAAATGTTAAAGTAGAGAAGGTGGCTGAGAAGAGTTAGCTGGAGAAGGCTCAAAAATGTAAGAGCTGCCAAAGCAAAGCAGAGTGGCGAAAGGACAGGGTTAGCAGTCTATGTAAAGAAATACTGACCCCAGGAGACTGGGGGAAGATGATGAAGAAAGAGATGCAGAAGAAAACAGGAGTCAGCTGTAAAAATATCCTATGTGAAGGGGAAGTATTGAAATTGGTGTTGGGACTAGCACTTCTTTGGCTGTGTGATTATAGAGCTTGTAGCACTTATTCAGGGTGGAAGAAGTTGCACCTTCTTTTCAAGCTTCTTCCCTTCTCTTGGGGGGTCTGGCTTCTGGGAGATTGGTAGCAGGAGGAGTAAGTGATACTGATAGTCTGCCTGTCACCACTACATACCTACACACTAGTGATTGGTGAAACGAGGTTCTACATCTTGCCTGTCTTTTTTCTCCTTGCTGGTGGCATGGTGCTGAAGGCCTCGGTAGGTCAGGAGATGTGCACTGCTGCTGCTTCTCTGGTGTGTTCTTTGAAATAAGCTGAGTTGAGTAAAGGCCAAAAGTGCTGGTGAGGAACTTGGTGACTCCTATAGGTTAGATTTGTTTGTTTGTTTGTTTCTTTGGGGTTTTTTGGTTAGTTTTTTTGTTTCTGAAGACAGCATTTTGACAATCAGGATGGGGATAGTTCTTTGTTAAATTATCCTCTTGGTACAACTTAGTGCTTTCATGATTGTGGCTCTTTTGTTAGCACTGCTTGGCATAATGCTTTCAAAATCAACTCAAAATTTTAAATTCTCTCTCTTTCTCTTTCTCTTTCTCTCTCTCTTTCTCAAACTTAGTGTCAATGATAAGGTAATATCTGTCTCCTGCCTTAACTGTGTTCTTATTGATGCTTTACATGCCTGGGAAGTGAGAGTGCTGCAGCTGGATAAAGTAACATGATGGGACATGCATTGCTGCTGCACCTGAAGGCTATAGGAATAGGTGACTTTTCTCGTTTTCTTCAGTGTGGTTGTTCTCTTCAGTAGTTACCTTGTGGAAAGGTTTGTTTGTCCAGGTTCCTTCTTCTGAGTGGGGTAGCACTTCACTTATCTGAAGCTTTGTTTCCATGTCTCTGTTAGCTGTAGTACTTGTATTTGATGGCCAAATCGCTGTGAAATGTTGAACTCAATAGCTGCACAAATAAATGTGTTTAGCAGGGCACAAGCCATGGTTTGTAGATTGTTTTTTTCCTAGTTCAAGCTGTATAATACCATGTGCCTTCTGTATTCTGCTCGATTACTTTTTTTGGCTGTTACCAGTCTAGGACTCTTGGAGAGCTAGGCAAAATACTGTTGTTCTGTAGGGTAATATTTGTGTCCCTTTTCTAGAGGACAAAAAGCCTTATCTTCATTCCATGGAATTTTGCCCTGCTTAAACACCCTCAGGTTTTGTATCTATCTTGCACGTTGAATTTTGTCATATGGAGAATTTAGGGCAGGGGGAACGATACCTTCCCCCCCGCAAGTCCCTCAAGTATAGAGGAGTAAAATTTTTGTGTAGCAATAGAGAAGTCTTCTAGGAAGCCTGCTTGCTTGAGGTGCACCGATTTAACTTCTTAAAATTCTGTTATCCTACAGCCGACTTTGGTTTCTGTGCTCAGATCACTCCAGAGCAGAGCAAGCGCAGCACTATGGTTGGAACTCCTTACTGGATGGCTCCTGAAGTGGTCACACGTAAAGCATATGGCCCCAAAGTGGATATCTGGTCTCTGGGCATCATGGCTATTGAGATGGTGGAAGGGGAACCCCCATACCTCAATGAAAACCCCCTGAGGGTAAGAAGGCTAGATGTGGCCAGAACTATTTGCCAGTGTTTACTATATAAACATTTTCAGTAATTGTTCATTAATGGTATCTACATTAACAGAAAGTGGAACAAAAAAATCCAGCAAGCTTCATCAGTGCAAGAAAAGTCTTCCAAAAGGAAGACAGCTGTCTTGAATTTGTAGTCAGCCCTACTCTGATTTTTTTTTTTTTTTTATGTTTAGGAGATGAATATCTGCTTGTAATTAAAACATTGGATTTCAAACTCAGTCTTCTATGATAGTTTAGGGAAAGTAAATCCATTAGGTTATGAAAAATACTGTGTGTGTCAGAATCTGGTATTTTCTTTGCCAAGATAAGTATCTGTTGCCAAAAGATTTTGAACACTTTCTTGTTGCTAGCAAGAGTAGATCATGACTGCCTGAAATTGTGACACTTTTACAGATTTTCATCTCATCAGGGAGAGAAGTAGGCTGCAGAACCCTTTCTTATCTAGACTAATAGATTACTTCTAGGTGGGTCTGGCTGGCCTCTTTTAAAGATTAGGCTTGGTTTTACAATATTCCTCATTTTACAGGCTTTATATCTGATAGCAACTAACGGCACACCAGAGCTACAGAACCCTGAAAAACTGTCCCCAATATTCCGGGATTTCTTGAACAGATGTTTGGAGATGGATGTAGAGAAAAGAGGTTCAGCTAAAGAATTGCTACAGGTGAGTCAGCTGCTTCTCACAGTCTGAGATACAGATGCTACGACTAAGGTCAGCACATGATAAACTGCACTGTAGACTGGCACTCTCTTTTTTGAGTTTTCTTTTGAGGACTCTAGTGGAAAGCAGTTGGTAGGAACTAGAGTTTTCAAATACTGATAGCGTACTCTGAAGTCTTTCCATCAGTAAGCTGTTCCATCATTCTACTACTGCTAAATGCTAAAGCATCCAGCATTTCATGAACTAGTTATAATGGAGCCATTGAAGTGTGCGGAATGGTACCGAGAGAATATTTTTTGAGCAGAAAACCTCTTTCTAATGAATTATTGAAAAAGGAAAGGCGTAGGCTCTTTTGGGACAAGGAGGAATGATTATCAGGCTCTGTATCTGCCCCTGCAGGAGCTGGACATTGCTAGCATTTGTATTGCTTTTCAAATCTCAGAGTGAAAAGGCCTGTGGAAGATATATGGCTTTTATTGGCTTTTTAAACCATGTCTTTCACTCATTTACTGTGTTTCTGTTTTCTTGGCAGCATCCCTTCTTGAAACTGGCCAAACCTCTGTCTAGCTTGACGCCACTGATTTTGGCAGCCAAAGAAGCAATGAAGAGTAACCGCTAACATTACTGCCGCAGCCTTCATCCTTTTTTTTGTTTGTTTGTATTTTACAAATCTTTCTAATATATGAAATTGTTACACTTCTGGGGGGAGGGGAAGGGATCTTGTTGGGGGGTGGGGTGGGCAGTGGAAAACGTCTGCAAAAGGGAAGAAACTTATCCAGAAGACACCCAGAAAAAGTTGTGGTGACTCTAGCAATCTGTGTCTGGGGTCCAGAAGGAATTGAGGACTGAATTGCTGGCCTTTTTTTTCTCTTTCCTCCCAGACAGTCCAGAAATGCCACTCACTGTGCCTGGGGTTTTAAGACTTTTTAACGACTTCACTGTAACAGCTCCCATTCATTGTACCCGTCTGGGTACTTTCAATACTTGAATGACAGATTCAAGCTTTCAGAGAGCAGTACTAATTTTACCTGCTGATCTCTTTCACTCTTCCTTCTACCTGTTTACTTTTAAATTGCTCTAGGTAAGCTTCCATATGACTAGCTTCATGGCAAGTGTGACAGATCTGAAGGTACATCTTGCCCCTCATTTCTTTTATGGATTAGCAGTCACTGTACTGTAAAATTGACAACTTGGCTACTTAAGAAATCATAATGTATTCAGATGTTTTTCACTTCTTAAGATGAGAGGAGATAGGAGAAAGAGAAGTTTTCAACTGTTTCTCGTATGCCTGTGCTCTGCGGACTTTTAATCAAAGATGTGGCCTCTTCGTAGAATCTTAATGATTGGTCAAGTCTTTGGATGTCAGTTTATGGATATGTAGGTAGGGGTCAGATGTTTTATTTATGATCAAATGATCAGCTATAGTCAGGGCAAGAAAAAAGTTCCAGCTGTCTTCCTGTCTGCTCTTTTTTTTCCCCGTTAGACTTGCTGGCCAGAAGCTTAAAGGATAATGTGCTTTGTGTGGTAGATGATTCAAAAACATGTAGCTGTGCTCTGACTTGGGCTTTGGAAGTTATGCTGGTGCCTTTGACTGTTTTTATTTTACATTTGCCTTCTTTGTATCAAATACATTTTTGTATATGTTGTAATTTTTCCCCAAGCAAATAATGCATCAACTTATGGAGTTGTCAGAGTTTAAGTATTAGAGCTATTTTTTGCAATTTTGTATGTGCTCCATTTGTACTAATGAAACCGGAAGAACAAATAATCAGGTGTGAGGACACTGAAGATACAGGATTTTTTAAATATGATTCAAACAGAAGATTATGAACACCTGGAAATGCCAAAGCACTGTTCTGAAAATCTGAAAGCTGAAAGGGGAGAACAGTGCCGTCAGATGTTCCTGCGGCTTATTTGCCTGGCTGTTTCGAGGCTGAGGAGATGGGATGTGTCACACCGATCCTTTCTCACTAAAGACCAGCTAGAATGGCGGAAGTCAAACGTTCAATGCAAGAAAAAGTGCCTCCCTCCGAAGGACAGTGAGGAACTTGAGGGGTTGAGTTCTTGGGGTGTTACCAGTGGCGAGTGTAGAAGAGCCTGTGCCTCTGGATTCTTCTAGCGCTACAGTCTATGTATTTGAATTTTCCCAACAGTTTAACGAAGAGCCAACTGTTATAACATTGTGCCAAATGCTTCTGTGAAAGAACCACCATTACTTTAATGGGATTTTATTGCATTCGCAGTGGGGCAGGACCCGGGACAGATAGGGTTATAGTTGAGTATGAGCAGAGGACCCTGAATAAAACTGTTTTGCACAATTTTTACAAATGTTGCTGGCAGAAGATAGAAGTAATTTTCCGATAATTTCAGTATTTGTACAGTGATAGAGATAACTATGTTTTGGGGACTGGTAGCTGACATATGACAAACCCAGCTTCCAGCTGAGAGTGGCTGGCAAGAACAGCAAAGGCTTTTCTTTCTAATGATGGAGGGGAAATGGGACTAGGGTCTCACAGCATTTGCTGCTGCGACTCACTGGCTTTCAGGAATTGGTGTGGTACCAACAAGGTGCCTTGTTCTGTCAGGTGCTGCATTATCGCAGTTCAGCTTCCATTCTGCTCTCGCCTGGTAGTAAAAATTCACATTGGGTAAATTATGTTAACTGCTCCATCACAGAAATAAATTCCTCTAGCTGTAAGTTTAAGAATAATTACGGTTTAAATTCAAGGCAGTGTCTCATTTCAGGCAAGGAAATCTAGATGCATTTCCCAGGCAAAATGTATTACGAGCCATGGATGCTGTAAGCACTGCAATGGCGACGCCCCTGGTTTGAATGCATCTGGCTCCCTGATCAAAGTAGTGAGGAGGCTTGGCTGAAAAATAAAACCTGTCGTACCGATGATTCCCTCTTTGTCCGTTGCTGGCAATGGACTTTGTGAAGCTCCCTGTGCCAGAATTAAACTGGGAATTTTTCTTTGTTTCTTCTTCCTCTTTTTTTCATTTTCTTTCGATGGCACAATCTAGACAGTAAGATAACTTGTGGTAAATCTACATTCTTTGAACTAGAAGCGCAAGAAATCATAAGTAATTTTAACTTATTAGTTTGCTTTTATTGATGAATGAGAATGGTTTATAATGTGTTACAAAATTGTCCAAATTAGTCTACTTATGACATGATTTCCAAACTTTAAGCCATCTTAGTACACAAAATTTGGCCCAGTCCAGAAGTTACCAAAACATATCTCAGAGCTTGCTGCGTGATCTGGAGAGATGTTTAGCTCTGAGGTTGAGAAGTGTCCTCGTCTCCCCTTCCCCACGCTGCAGCTTTATTGTTATGTGGTGAGGTTTCTCACCCCCAGCTACCAGTAATCAGGGTCAGAGATGTGGCTCTCCTCTGGCCAGCTCCAAGAAGGTTGTTGTGCTGTGCTTTTGTGTCTTAGTGGTGTTGCTTTTCTAACGATGTCAGCTGGATATGTCTGCAAGATTAAAAAATGCAAGCTGTGGGTTTTTTCCCCTGATGGGAGCCAGTTAGTGTCCTTAAGACTCGCTGCAGGGCTGTTCATCTCTGCTGTATCACTAGGACAGACAGAGACCAGCCAGAGTTCAAGCAGATGATGATAAGGGAAGGATTGCATTTGGAAATGTTGGGTTTCCCATATGTCTTGCACTCTTTTGGGTGCCAGCATAAGATCCTGAGTCCGAATCAAATACGCATGTGATATGTACAAAGTGTAACGTACAAAGGTGTGGTTAGTTGGGTGTATGGAGCTGGGCAGCTTATGGCTGAGATGCAAGCGTGTGGAGAATGTGCAAGTCCTGGGATTTTCTTGTATAATAAACCAGACTTCTCATTAAAAGCAACCATGGCCCTGGGAATGTGCACTTTGACCTGCCTTAGGTGTTGACTAGTTGTAGGCTTCCCCCACCAGCTCTCCAGTGTAGCGAGGTGCAAAGGTTTGGCTAGAGCAGATCGGAGAGGCTGGGTCCCTTTCTTAGAGGAGATGATGGTGGACTGGAGAGAGAGCTAGGAGGTTGTTAGGGATCTCTCGAGTTGGAGTTGAATAAATAAATCTCTGGTCCATTTTTTCCGTCTGTTCCTCATGCTGTCAATGGAAATGGAAGTAGGTGCAAGCTTTCTTTTTATTTTTTTAAACTGTCTTCAGATTTTAATGTTGCCTTTTGTGTAATTTAATCCCATTATGTTATTTAATTGTTACTGCAATATTAACTACTGTATTTGTTGACTTTGTTCTTTTCAGGGCTAGAAATAAACTTTAAAAAAAATTTGTTGTTTTTTTTCCCCCTTCCCTATCTGAGTTTTACAGTTTCTAAGACAAAAGCAGCTGAAAAGAGTTGATGTTTAGATGTCTTAATGGGATTAACAGAATGTATGTGTTTGCAGTTAAGGTTCTTAAAAATGCTTTAATTGTGATGAATATCACTTTATGCTATACTAGCATATCTGTTTCTTTTAAAATTTGATTACTCATCAGTGTCTGTACCAGCCTTGTGATAACTGCAAGCTTTCCTTGCTGCAGTATGCTCCAGACAGACAGTTATGCCTTCTGTAAAATGCTTCAGATCACTGGCAGGAGGAGAGCAGCTCTGAAGCACCCGTTTCACCCACCATGGAAGAGAGATCCTCTGTTCTTGTGAATGGAGTGAAGCAAAGACCAGATTAGTTGGCTGTGAGGTAGCCTTTTGGTAGTGACTGGGGTGGGACTGATGGGCCAGTAAACTGCAGTTGTGACAATATGATGATGTTCCAATAACTATTCTGAACAAGACTGCTTTATTGCACTGTGAATATCATAGAATCATAGAATGGCCTAGGCTGGAAGGGACCTTAGAGATCATTTTAATGCAGCCTCCCTGTCTCCAGGGACGCCGCCTCTCGACTAGATCAGGCAGCACATGGGGACTGAACAGGAATCTAACCAGCAACCTTGGTGTTGTTAGTGCCACGCACAACTGACTGAGCTAACCAGCCCCCTAATATCATCCAGTATCCTGCATGTAAGTGTCAGCGCAGGAAATGTGGGGAGTGAGCTGTCCTGGTGCCTGCTTGGAAGATGTGGCTTTTGGTCATGTACCATCCCAGCTTGACTGGTGTTTGACCGGCAGAGCCGAACAAGGTGAGCGTGCTGGGTGTTGATAGCTCACCTAAAACTTGAGATGAGGTCGATTGTGCCTGTTAGTAGGCTGCAGAGACTTGCTCATGTTTGGCATTGGAACTACAAAAGGATGATGCAGCCTATTGGTGTGGCAGTCTAGCTAAAGAAAAAGACATGTAAACGAATAGGCTTTGGGGTTGAGATAGAAACTTCATCTGTCTTTCAACCGAAACTATCTTGGTTGTGAATGTTGAGGACTCATCATGTCACGTGTTTCCCATGTGTTACTGGGAAATTGGCTCTTCCCGTCTTGCATGTTGTTCAGGCTTTGCTCATACCACTGACAAAGGGGAATGAAGAAACCACCTTATCTTCAGAAGCCTTTTCAACCAGACATGAGAATGTTCTTTTGTACAAAGCACTGTCTCTTCAGGTTAAATAATTTGTTGTAGTGTTTTTGTCTTTATATATACTTGACCCTTTATTCATTTAAACTGATGTTCTCCAACTTTGCATTTAAGTTATTTTGCATTTAATTTACATGGGGAAATGTTGACAAGAGAAGGGAGGAGGTGCTTAGTGGAAATCACTAATTATCTGGATGCTGGTACTTGCTCAGCTTGAAGGAGAGTAGGGTTTTGGCTGAACATGGTTTGCACAAGTTGGAAGTTCCTAGTCCTTGTCTTGTGTGAACTTGCTCATCCCTTGCAAATACCTGGCCTAGACTAAAATCAAGAGCAGCACCATCTTTTTGAGTCTGTTTATTCAAGATTTCATAATTAAAGTTGTTCTTCAAGATAGAAAAGCAGCTGGGCAACAATTTCTCACTTTCAGGGCTGCTACTTCGTTGCAGTGAGTTTACTAAAAAGCTGAGCACAATTATTCTCTCTGTGCCAGCAACACTGGTCAGGAACAAGGTTGTTTGAAAACTGAGGGTCTTCATTTCTAACTGGCATTTTCATACTGGTGCCTGAAGAAAAGTGTTGTGTTTCAGTGCAATTTGCGTGGCTCGTGTGAGCACAGCAGTTGTTTGCAAATGCCTGTGCACAGGGATTTGTACAGCTGCGTTTTTTCCTATGTGTATAACTTGTGTTTTGCTGTGAAGATTGTTTTTAATAAAAATAGCCATCATCGGCCATGTGAGAAAGGTACATGAAACTGTGCTGAGCTCAGCTAAAGTCTTGATGTTGCTTTGCAGATGTGTGGAGGAAGCAGGTTTTTCTAAGAGCTTTTTTCTCCTACTTTGAACTCCAACCTGAGGAAATTTTTTAATTATTTTTTTTTCTTGAGGTGGGGAAAACGCCAACAAGTGAGAACAATGGATTTCTGACTGTAATTTCTTTACCTGCAGTCTTTTATGAGGGAAGAGGGTAGTGCCTGTGCAGCTTTCTCATGCCATCGTTCCCTTATCGCAGTGGCGATACTGTTTTTCCTTATTCCCGTCCACCAGCCAGTGTCTGCAGGGGAAATACCTTCCAGCACATTGTAACTTCATTTCAAATCACATTTACCTATTGACTTGATTATTGAAACAATATGTAGGGAGTGATTATTTTTTAAATGCTTTTTTTGGTGGGATTTGCCCACTGGGAAGTTAATCATTGCTCATTCTCTTTAGGACAGTGCAAGGCCACCAGACTTCTGTTTTGGAGAAGAGATGTATTGAGTCAGTAGAGAGGAGGATGGGCCTGGAATAGCACACAGTGTGTCTCAGTGCACAGACTCCAGTTTCTCGAGTTTTCTGAAGGGCGTGTGAATAATGAATCTGGTTTGGTATAACTGCATATCACCGGAGGAGATGCTGATTGTGTCTCAGGTCATCTCGATGGGGTGTTCTGGAGTGGGAACAGATAGGTACTCTTTTCCCATACTGGGTACTAGGTGACATTTCTAGGGACAAGGTTTCTAGAACTAAGGATGATCCATCTCTATTATTTTTTCCTCCCAGTGAATACTTATTCTAAGGATTCAGGTCTTGAAGCCAAATTAACTTGTGACTCTCTTTGAGCACTTTTCATCTGGCTGCTTGTGGGAGGAAACTTGCTGTTGGGTTTCTGCTGCCTTGTTGCAGCAGCTGGTAACAGGTGGCTGCTCTTGGAAAGCTCTTATCCACCCCCCTTCCAGTAAAACTCTCCTTAAATAAACTTACAACTATATGCAGCCATAGCTATCACCTCTTTTTGTGTTAAAATAGTGTGGCGGGTGGGAGGCAGGATGGTTCTGTTCAGCTTTTATTACCCTTCAGTGTTTTTTGAGAAACTTTAATTAACTGTGGAAGTGCCAGCTTGTTGCTAATCCAATGGCTAAAAAAAAAATAAATCAATTTACAGTGCCTGTGTTTTAAGCTGTTATAGTTCTTGACAGACCTGAAAGCAAATTTGGTTTAGAAAAGACACTGATGTTCCAGCCACAGAAAAGTGGTTTTCAGTGTGGGTCTGAATTTTTAGACAGTCTTGTTTCTAGAAGAGCAGCCTTGCCAAGCTGCTTGTACTCTTGGTTTTGCCTTTGCAGTGGCCTGAAGACGTGCTCCAGTACAGAGCCTGCAGCATGCCCTCTTCTGCTGTCAGCACTAAGGCGAGATAGATACGCGAGCAGCTTGTTTCCTATCATTGGTGGTATTTACTCCCAGAATTATTCTCATAAGGAACAGCTTCCAGCTTCTCTCTCCAGCCTGGGTTAAATGTCCCACAATTGCAGGATATGCTGTGGGCATAATTACAGATGTTGAATGGGAAATAGTTTTAAAAAGAACTCTTGCGATTTACTTCCTAAGGCCCAATTCTTAAAATACTTGAAAAGAAGGGGAAAAAATCAGTTCCTGTGGGAAGGAAGAGATGTTGGGACTTTTTTTCCAGTTTTACTATGGGTGTTGATGTTTTTGATGTCAGCTGTGTTTGGAGTAAGAGGATGAGAATGCATTTGCTTCCTAGGCATTAGTGCATGGCAGCTTTCTTTTGTAACAGTAGCCAGAAATATTAGTGTAAGGGACACCCTTCTTTTTTTGTTGAAATGAGGGGTAGGGCTGCAGGAAGAGATGCTGAAGCTGAATGTGACCGTCACAAAAATCTCTGAAATGCCCTGCCAAATCGTGGTGTATTTTTCTGCTGCAGCAACGCTACAAGGGAGAGAGGCTGAGCAGCAGTGATGCCTTCAGAGCATACACTCCTGGTTTTCGTGAGTTCGACTGTGTTGCCGTAACTGGCTTAAACTGCATTAAGTGCCCATCCCTGGCTCAGGCGTGCTTCAAAGCTGTGTCTCTTGGCAATTTCTTTTATAAATGAGAGGGAAATAAAATGACATTAATAAAAGCTCTTGGCTCATTGCATGTGATGGGGTGGCAGGAGGAGCCTACATTACCCACCAGCAGGGTAGGTTACCTGTGCAGTTGCATTACCTGTGCACGGGCACAGGACTGGGCTTTGCCTAGGGCGTGGTGTTGCCAGCACAGCTGCCCTGATGCCCAGCAGCTGTTCCATGGCACATCTCACCGCTTGCTCCCATGATGGCAGAGCACGCCCTGGGCATGTTTTACCCTGCAGCATGTTCACTGTGAAGGAGATGCTGTTCCCATTGTAGGAAATGTGAGCTCAATGTGGTGTCATTTCCACTGGAGAGGAGGGAAGTGACCCAGAAGGCACATAATGCTTTGTTTATGCTCCGTTAACTGTGAGTCTCTGATAATATGACATTATCTACCTCTTGCTTGTGCTGCTTCTGTGCTTTCTGTCCCTGACCATCCCCTTGTCTTCCCACAAACCCCAGGTCCCCAGTGACCCGGAGGGAGCTGCTACAGAGGATGCAGCCACTGGGGCAACCACAGCATATTTTGCCATGATTGCTGTCAGCTCAAATGTATGTTAAAAGGTCTAACCCAAATGTGGTTGGATGTTTAGATGGTGTTGATTTAATAAGTCAGGATGCCATGGGGTGGTTTTGGTAGAGCTGGGATATAACCTCTCCACAATATGTGTGCTACCAGCAGGAGGAGTTGAAACGTCGCTGTCACTGAAATGCCACCTGCAGACAAAGGGCATGTGCAGTTAGTGCCACCTCCAGCAAATGAGGTGAGGTCTTACTCAAGACAAGGATGACAAGAAATAGGAAGCAGTAAACAAGCTGGGCTTTCATATTGCCTGAAGACAGACTTTACTGTGGCTTCAGAGTGGTTCTGCTCTGGAGAAACAGGAGCCCCTTGCATGGGTTGCTGGCTTTCCAAGAGCCCCTTGCGTCCTAGGCACTGGGATTGGGGGGCAGTAGGTTGCAATTTGTGGTGCCAAGTAGAAATGAAATAAAGGATTTTGCTCCTTCTGAAAGACCTGAGCAACTTCAGGGAGCTGCTGCAGGCATCAGATATGAGTGCCAGGGGTTGGAGACTCGCCGACCGTGTGGTGGAGATAACACTGGGACCTATTTGCTGGGGCAAACAACTTGTCAGCTGTTTCAGCTGCGGGCAAGTCCATCGGCTCCTGCAGCAGCAGGCATTGCCCTGCAAAGGAGAGCACGTGCGATGTTTCCCAAGCCTGTCGGGCTGTGCCACGTTTGCTTATACACGGCTTTATAAAGAGGAGGTGCAGAAGCTTTCTCTGCTCCTTCCTGGGTTTTGGTTTGGTCTGTCTTCCCATGTAACCTTGGCTATGGCCGGCCTGAATGTCTCCATTGCTTTTTTTTTCCTGGTTGTTGGACTGTGCCAGGCACTCAGGCGGTTTTCCAAGTGGCTTCTGTCTCCTGGAGCATACAGCTGCTTTGCAAGAGAACTTGCTGGCTCGTTACAGTTGTGCATGAGCTGCCTTGAGCTGAGGATGTTGCTGGAGATCGGCCCATGGGGTGGTGGCTTTGGCCCAGATGTTGTCCTGACTCTGCTCTTCCTCCTCTTCGCTGTTCACGGCACCTCTTTTGACGGAGCATCTGCCAACCCGACCATCTCTCTCCAGGAATTCTTGCTCCTTGAGTCCAACCTTGCTGCAACTGCTGCCAAGCTGCTGGCCCAGTGTGTGGGCATGGCGATGGCATGGGTTGTCACCAAGATCTACTGGTCCTGGCAGCTGACACATTTCCATCTCATCCAGAACCTTATAGCATCAGAGTGCAGCTCCTCCATCCACACGTCTCTACACCACGCTGCCTTTGTGGAAGGCACCTGCTCTTTTCTTTTCCACCTTGTCCTTCTCAAGTTGCAACAGAGTAATCTGATGTACCAGATCCCTGTACTGGCAGCGACTGTCACCTTCCTGACCTACGCAGGTGAGCAGAACTTGCCATTCTTTAAATCATTTAGAAAAATACCTCATTTGTGGAGGAGGAATGGTCCTTTTTCATCTTCCAGGACTTGAGAAGTAACGATTACCAAGATGTTTGTTTTCTACTTATTTTGGGAAATACTCATTTTGAGGTGAAGATGGCAGTTTAGGGATATCTAGGTAGCAGCAGCACATGTGAAGTTACATCTTGAGACTGGGGGCGTTTTCCTTGAATGTCCCCTAAGGCAACCCCTCACTCCTGCACTGCAAAGCTTCCTGCAAAGCTCCAGGTTACAAGGGTGGATGTGTTCACAGCCCAGAAAGCCAGTTGCATCCTGGGCTGCATCAAGAGAAGCGTGGCCAGCAGGTCGAGGGAGGGGGTTCTGCCCCTCTGCTCTTTCAAGACTCCACCTGGAGTACTATGTTTAGCTCTGGGATCCGTAAGAAAGACATGGACTTGCTTGAGCGGGTCCGAAGGAGGGTCATGAAGATGATCAAGGCTTGGAGCACCCCCCCATGAGGACAGGCTGAGAGAGTTGGGGCTGTTTAGCCTGGAGAAGAGAAGGCTCTGGGGAGTGGTCTTCCAGTACATAAAGGGGGCTACAGGAAAGAAGGGGAATTGCTTTTTATGAGAGCTAATGGTTTCAAACTGAAAGAGGGTAAATTTAGATGGGGTATTAAGAAGATACTCTTTTCTGGGAGGGTGGTGAGACACTGGAACATGTCATCCAGAGAAGCTGTGGATATCCCCTCCCTGGAAGTTTTCAAGGCCAGGTTGGATGAGACTTTGAGCAGCCTGGCCTAGTGAGAGGTGTTCCTGCCCATGGCAGAGGGCTTAGAATGAGGTGATCTTTAAGGTCCCTTCCAACCCAAACTACTCTATGATTTCCCCATGTGCTGCTTTTGCACAGTCCAAGCAATGCAGATGCCAGACCTGGGCAGCAGCAGAGATGCTCCTGACAGGCAGGAGGCATCACAGGTCTCCTGGCCCAGCTGTTTGTCAGTCTTTCAAAGGATGCAAACAAGACTGATGGCCATGCTTCTCTTCCCATGCAGCCGGACCATTCACAGGGGCCTTCTTCAACCCTGCCCTAGCCACAGCTGCCACCTTCCATTGCTCAGGGAGCAGCTTTTGGGACTACGTCCAGGTTTACTGGTTGGGGCCCCTTGCAGGTGAGATCTGCCTGGGAGGTACTGGGGGGTAGGGGCTGGGATGGCAGGCGATGGGCATTGCAGAAATGCTGAGCAAAATGCAAACTGTTCCGGGGGCTGAACCTGAGTCTTGCCAGTGACAAGTGTCCTTTTCTGTCCCATTTCTCTGTCACTTGAATCATCTCTTTGTTCTCTATTCTTTAAAACTAGTTTCTATATGGGGCATAGGCAAAACTCCCCCACTCCAAGGCCAAAGTTTGAGAGAGACGAGGAAAGGATGTTTTAGAGCAACAACAGGCTAAACTATGCTGTTGAGTCGTCCACAACCTCTGGATGACCCTGGGGAGCTGAATATGTGCTGCCTTGAATGCAAGGAGTGAGGTCAGAGACTGCTGGTGTTGTTTATGGGCCTTTTAGGTCAAAACAACCCTTGCATTAAGGACACAGTGGTCGAATTTTCATTACAGTAATATATCAAGGCTCTTTCAGCTGTCAGTGGGGACTTCAGTAATGCTGAGCTACTTTTTGGTCATGACGAAGGTTGCGACAAGAACCTTGAAAGTCATGTGGGGAGGGTGGAGATTCTCGATGCAGCACATGGAAGGGGTCTGTACTCTCATTTCAGGGATGCTCATTGCCCTTTTGCTGTACCAAGGCAACATCCCACGATTCTTCCAGAAAAACCTCCTTTACAGCCAGAAAAGCAAATACAAGATACCCAAGGCAAGGGTGGCGGTGCATGTGGAGGGTGGCGAACCACAGCAGAAGAGGAAAGGGGACAAGAGCAACTCTAAACCTTGTGCCTGAGCCACAGACGGAAGCGAAGGGGGTCCCTGCAGTCCCTCTCCTGGGAGCAGGTTTCCTGGTAATGAGGATTTTGCTGCTTGTCCTGCCCAGCATCTGTCCTGCCTGATCAGTCCCTACCACAGGGTGAGACTGTTTTAAAGCATTGCAAAGGAATCTGCCAACCTGGCATTGCAGGCTATCTGAATCCCTTGAAATAGCCTTGAAAGTCTTCCTGGAGAGCCCAGAATGTTTCAAGCCTACATTGCTGGCTCAGTGGAGAGGAAAAAAAAACCCCAAACCTCTTTAATAATTGCCTGGTATTGCCAGGAAACTTGCAGAAAGTCAGGACCATTATGTGGGTAGGCTTGAGCAACCACTAGGTTATTGCATCATGCAACACATGAAATAATCTGACTGGGTCTCTTACAGCCATGAAATTGAAGCATAAACCAGTAACTGCCTTGGAAACTTGGTATGAGGAACAAGCAGGCTTTGGTCTTTCAAATTACTAAATGGATACTGGTCAAAAATTGGTGTTCTTTGAGTTAAACTGAGATCTTTGAATTGCACAGACTGAACCTGGCTCTTCTTGGAGAGGAATGAAAAATGCTCCAGGGCAAGGGAGTTTATTGGTCACAGGAGCCTCTGGGCCTCTGTGGATGAGGCGCTTGTTCTTGGTTTTGTGTACTGTAAGACATCAAGAAATGGTTCAGAAAGTGCCCATGGTTGAAAGATAAGACCCAGGCAGGTGTTATCAGTCAGTGTGGGTGAGAAAGTGCATCTCTGGGCTCCTCTCTGTGTCTATGTAAAATATTCCTAAAGATAAAATTACAATTTGTGGAAATAATAAAAATAAATGTTGTTATTGACACTTGGGTGAGTGATGTCATTCCTGTGAGTTCTGCAAGAGGGAAATTTTCATCTGATCCCTGAAAATGGGAGACACTATGGAGATGCCCAAACTGACTCTGCCCTCCCTGCTACTTGTTCTGGAAGGGGGATAGTCTGGGTGGAAACACCTGCTAGGTAAATGGGGCTCCCCTCAGGCAGTGCCAGGGCCAAGGCATGCCATGGGTGCTGCATCCCGGGGACTGGTGGGTGTGGCTGGATAGTGAGGAAACCCAGAGGTTTCCCTGCCAAAAATGGCCAGTTGCTGTATTTTGCAGAAAATAGTTGATTTTGCAGGAACTCTCTAGGCAGAAAATTCCTGAGCTGAATATATTCTTGATGCACCACCGTTTTTCAGAGCGATCGCAAGGCGTGTGCTCCAGGCCAGTCTGTGCTTTTTATGAGACTGGACACAGGAGGATGTGATGCTGTGCTTGTAGAAGTGTCCCTGCTCTGGGTCACCTTTGTGGAAAGTTCTCCTCCTATTTACTGAGTTGCAAACAATGAAGAAGGAAGTGACACCTGATTAAAATCTGGAGTGAAGGTGTCAGATGCAGATTTGGTACCTGGGTGCAAGCCCTGCTCTTCCTTGCATGGCTGCTATGTCCCCTGTGGTGTTTTTTTTTGGTGGGGGGTGAACCTGGCAATCTTTCCTGTCCATCTTCCTTGCTCCTATGAGGGACTGCCATCTGGAGTGAACTGGAGGCTGCCTGGGAACGCAGAAAGGAGCTGGACCTCTGCAAACCATGTGACCACACCACATCCCAAGAGGACAAATGAGTGAAGGGACCAACACAGTGGTACATGGATATATTTCAGAGATTAAACTTTATGAAACAAAGCCATGCAGCAAATGCCCCAAAAGCAATGGCCCTGCATCGATGCTTCACACTGCCCAGTCTCTTCTGGGGAAGGGCAGTAGAAACAGAGTCTGGCTTTTATCCTGGTTAAACTGTGAGCAGGAGATGGAGCACCTTTGGATGGAAACTGAAACCTTTGAGGATCCATGTGACTGGCTAGGGGACAGACTGAGATGCTCAGATCCTCCCGCCCTTTTTTTCTGAACCTCTTTTGGTTTGGAAGTTGTGCTGAAAGTCCCAAGATGAGGCTTCTGCTTTTGCAAACTGACTTACGGCCTCTGCTTTTGATTTGAGGATAAGCGTACAATGTAAAAAGTAAGGCTGACTAGCCCACCACAACCCATTCTTGTGGTGTTTTTCCCCAGGCAGAACATAGATTATTCCTACAGTTGTGCTAAGCAATGGGTTGGGTTGTTTGGCTGCAGAAGTGCTCACGAGATGCCTGCTAGATGCATGAACTTGTAGTTCAACGCTGCGGTGTTGGCATCACCTCCAGGGTGGGATGCTGCTCCTATAAATGCAGCATATAAATGCAACATCTGAGGACAGTGTGTAGCCACAGGATCAGTGCAACAGAATGCTGATTTGTTTAATTTTTGTTTTCCTCTGGACATTTTCAGATGTTTGCATTCTGTTTCTTGGGATGCTGCAAAGGTGGTCTACTGGGGCAACTGATGTTATCAAGGAGACCTTAATAGCAGTGACAGTCAATATTGTTATTTTTAATAAGAGGCCACTTTTCCAGTACAAAAGCACTAGGGTGTAGTGGACGAGAGCTGCAGCTGGACAGGCTGGTTCCCAAGCTATAAATCAAGCTCTTCAGCTCTGATTTACAGCTTGGCCCTGTGCTGTTGCAGTCTCTGTTCCAAGGCTGAGGACTTGGTCTGCCCTCCTGGTTCTGCTTTTTGCTGCTGAAGTCAGTGCTACACAGCACAAAGCCCCAGATTGCCTCCTCCAAGGCTTCTCCCACCAGTCGGGGACCTACCCTGAAGAGTCGTGTCTCACTGAGTTCCTGGGACCCCTCCTTTGAAGCCCATCCTGCTTCACAGCAATGGCAGCGTGTAGCACTCAAATGCTTGTGTGCAGTCCTGCACAGACAGACGTGGCCAGGGGCTCTTGTGGGCAGCAGCATCTCAGCCTGGCTGCCCCCCTGGAGCAGAAGCAGCCTCTGAGCCCAGGAGGCAAGTCCCTCGCTGTCCGTGGTAAAGGCAGCTGGAGAATGATGCCTGGAGGGGAGAGGGAGGCTCAGTTTTGGGTGCCCTCCAGCCTGTGCCTCACAGCATTGCCCTGCAGAGAGGGAGCAGGCTGCTTGGTCTGGGAATGCTTCTGGGCAAACTGCTTCTTGTAGAGCGCACTGCTGTACTGCAGCTCTGGGGTCACCAGCCGCCGGCACATGTGCTCTGTCTCCTTGTCCAAGCCCTGCTTGAGGTTATAGCCCAAGATCTTTGCACTGCCATGCTGCAGTGGCCTCAGGGAAGAGTCCTTGATGTCCTTAGGGACCACACTGCCCATCCCTTGCAGGCAGGTCCTTGCCAGCTCTGCCCGCCTCTCCCGAAGGGCCTTTACTTCCCGCTGCATGCGCTCCCTGCCAATGTCTCGATCGATCCTTTCCCAGAAGGTCCTGTTGAAGTGGGTGTAGATTTCCCAGTCCAGCCTATTCCAGTTCTTTATCTTCTCCATGATGGTGGCTGGGAGGGGGGACTTGGTGCTACTGTCCCTGCTGTTGAGTGGGAAGGAGACAACACTGTCCAGGTCCCAGCACAGCACCTCCTTCAGCAGCACCATGGACTCATCAAAGTACTCGGAGATGAGGAGCAAGTCAAAGGACGCCTCAATAGCCTTCAGCATGAGTTCTACCCGCTCAGCAGAGACCTCTCCATTGGGGTTGAAGCCAAAGTCGAATGTCATGAGGTTCTTGGCGTAGTGGCTGTCACCATTTGCAGGGTTGTAGTAGCGGTAGGGCTGGCTGAGAAACTCCTCCAGGCTGTGAGCACGGGAGAAAGCTGATGCGCCCTTGTAGTACACGAAGGAGGACTCCATGAGCTGCACAGGATTCCTCAGGATGGAGAAGTAGACAGCTGAGCTGGACACCACTTTCTGCACCTGTGGAGGAGAAAAAAGAAGTTTTAAAGGTGGGGTATGGAGAAGGGACCTGCTTGCATGCAGTCATGCGCTTGTCCTATCTCCTTGCCTTTCCCCAGATCTATGTCCTCAAGTGGCACCCAGAAGGGTGGATGTTGGGCATCAGCTAACCTGAGCTGATGTGCTTATGGCATTCTCCTCTTGCAGCTTGTACCCTCTGGGACTGTCTAGGCAGCAAGACAGCTCCAAGGACCCACCAGACAAGAATGAGATGGTAGTTGCTGACTCGTACAGATGTTGTCCCCTGGCTTGTCTCAGGTCACAGCACAATGATTCATCAAACCTGTTTATGGAAGCTCTCAGGAAATGCCTGTAACATACAAGGTACCTGGAGGCAATCCTGTCTCTCTTTAGCTTCATCCCTGAAGAGCTTATTGCTCTACAGGTGTTCCACCTTGCTCTCCATAAGCAATTCTTTCCCTCTCCTGTTTGTCCCTTGTGGCATCACAACTTTGCCTATACCTCTGGCTGCAGGAACCGCATGTGATGGCAGAGGATGTTGAATCGCTGAGGGCTCCTCGGAGAGAAGCCCTCCACGAATGTTGCTAAGAAGTGGCGTGGGTAGAAGAGCTGATTGCCACCCCCAGTGGGGAAGGCAAAGGTGAGGTTGTGCATCTCGCCGAAGCGAAAGAGGATGTTCATGACGGTGCTGCTGGCACTCTTGTGTACTTTCAGGAAAACAATGTCAGTCTTGGGCTCACACTTCTCCCCTTGAAAGGAGACCCCTCTGGTCTTTTGGCCTTCTCCAGGTGTCACCTCCTCAACCTCAGAGATATCTGTCCAGCTTGGGAAAAATTCCCTCTCCAGGTCTGTCTTGTAAAAATCCTCTGCCTGTGGAGGTTGAGCTGAATTTGGCACAGCTTGTTTAAGTGAGCTGCTCTGCTGATGGTAGGGGGAACCCATGGCTTGGGGCTGAGATTGGCTCTGTACCACCAACTGCATCATTTCTGATGGTGGCGTTCTCCTGTGCTCCTCTGCAGTCATCTTGTTTGTAAAGAATATGAACTTGCTGGTGACAGCATCATCATCATCTCCCCAAACTGCAGAGATTCTCCCAGGAAGAGTTGGAGAAGGACCCTCTCGGGTTGCTTTTCTCAGGCCAGTAAACTGGGATTTCAGCCTTGTGGATGAAAGATGGGCTTCCACCTTCTCGCTGCTCTCCACAGGCTGCCACGTCCAGCCCTCCTTTTTGCTGCCCAGGCTGCTTTCAAGTGGGGAGTCCTGGCTGAAGTACTGCTGCATCTGAAAAACGTCCTGCACGCTCTCTGCCACAGTAGGGTCTGGCAGGGGTCTCCTCTGCCAGTGCAAGGGATCATCACCCCACAGCTGGTTGGGGGTCTGGAGGGCATTGCTGAGCTCCTTCTGGCCATGGTCCACAGTCTGCTGCAGAGCACGCTCCACCTCACACCGACAGTTTCTGTAAAAGGAAGGATGCAAGATTCAGCTGCAAAGGAGTGTGCAAAGAGGGCTGCTCCTGCTCTCCGCAGCCCAACAAAACACCCCTGCAGACATCCTAGAGCACACTCCCCTGTCTTTCTTGGGGTGGTTGGCATTGCTGGTGGGTGTAGGACTTGACCACTGCCCTGAGAGGTCGGGCTGGGTACAAAAGGAGAACAGGTCAGCAGCGATGTGCTAATGCCTCTGTCCTGCTGGAGCATGGTGGGCTGGTGGAAAGGAGGAAAGCAAGGGGATGTAAAGAAAGAGAAGAACAGGTGGCCTGGAGAAGCTGGAGGAAAATTTGGCAATGACCCCAGATTGGGAGAATGCTGAATGGCTGTAGGGTTTTGAGGCAAGCCAAGACAAAGCACAGAGCAGCCTGATCTGAACATAGAATGGGCTTGGTACTGACCAGGATGTAGGCGTTGGATGTGAGAGCCCCAGAGTGGTCCTCTCCCACCTCCATTTTCCTCCCTGTCTAAAGAAGACACTATTGGGTGGTTTTCAGGAGGGCATATTTGAGCCCACCTCAGTGGTCAGTGAAAAGAGGGAGGATGAGGTGCAGGTTTGCAATCCTGCTTGGGACCTACCTGAGAGGCTGCAACTTCTCCACAACTTGAAGCGTGAACAAGAGCAGGATGAGGAGGCTGAAGAAGACCCAGAGCCGCCCTCGTTGGCACCTGTATATTGCTTTCAACTTCCTGCAAGGAAGCAGACATTTCAGACCATTAGTACATAGAAGAAATGCACATGTTAGACAGAGGGGAAAGATGCCTTGGGACTTTTAAGGTCACATTTTCATGAGTGGAAGAGGTGCAGAGGCAGTGGTAACCCATGAACCTCAAAGGCTGTGTTCAGGCAGTGTAGCCTAGTGGAAATTTCCAGCTGAGACACAAATATTGCACTGCAAGGTAAACAGCGATAACCGCAAAGTCCCTTGGCTGCTCAGGAACACCTTACCAGCCCACCATGAGCTCCAATTTCAGTAGCAGGGCCAGGTACTACTTCCATTTTCCCTGGCCTAGAAATACCAGGAGCCTATCTTTATTTATAAAGGCAGTAAAATGTTTTTTTTTTCCTTCCTTTCCCCTTCTCTCCACGCCTGCCATTGCCACCTGCACAGGCTCCAGTGCGGCTGTAGATGTGATGCTACCCTGAGGGCACCAGCTTTGCCTCTCTGGTGCATGACCTGGCCCTTAGCCTGGTTTTAGCCAAGTCTACAATGGCAGCATGATTTCTTCAAGCCATCAGCACTATGCTATGGGGCTTTGAGTTGTGTGTGGACAGTCAGGCCATGAAAGCACTGCCACAGGACTTCTACTGTTTGTAGGGCTTGCTGCAAACCCCGGTAGAGCTTGATTGTAGTCTTAATCTTCAGTTAGGGGACTAAACTTCTTTGGAAAAAATATTAGTTTGCATTTAATTTCTGTTGCTTTCTACCCAGGTAACATACTGTTGCATAAGAGGAGATGATTTGTTCTGAGAATTTGATTAAATCCTCTGTTGTGGGCTCCTCCTTGGGTGGGAGTCCAGCCTGCAAGGGCCAGATGTCTGTTCTCTCCCTCTCAGAGGGAGCGAGCAGGCACAGGCTGCTTTGCTAAGCTTAAAATGGAGAAATCTAAGTAGAAGGAATTAATTAAATCAGAAATTTGGGAAGAGGCTGCTTGGAACAAATTCCAACAGCTGATCTGTGTTCGTTGATGTTTTCTGCTTCCTTCAGAGGTCAGTTTTGGACCAAGAGAGTGGACCTGGGACTGCACAGAACTGCTTGACCCGGAGCCTCTTCATCTCTGTGGTGATTTATCTCCAACTCCAGGCAGTCTTGCAACATATGAGAGAAATACTGGCTCAATGAGCTAGCAATGATGCAAACATGGGTTGTCTCGAGTGGTCATGTGCACCCCACTGGTACTGGTCAGGAATTTAGGTTTGCTATTGAAAAGCTTGATTAGTTCCAGAAAAAATCGACTGTTATGACTAACTGCAGTTTGCTTATTACAGTACTACTTCCAGTGGCTGTGTATCAGTTTGGACACTCATGGGTACAGTTCTGCCCTGCTCTCAATAATGTCACTTACTGAGTTGAAACACTAAACTCCTAGGTATTTTTTAATGTCTAACGAACTTGAGACTGTAAAGTCTGTGAGTTCTTAGGTCATGACAGTGCTACTGAAGATTCAAAAGGCATATAATTAATAGCAGGGTGAGCAAGCTAGTCAGCAGCACAGCATCCCCCAAACCTCACAGCAACCTGGAGGTAACCCGTGCTCATTTTATATTTGAGGAGCAGACTGCCAATCTCAGATGAGAGACTGATGAGCCTGCACATGGCTCACTGCCCGGCCATGCAAGCAGCACAAGAAGACCCTTGTGCTGTCAAAGCTAAATGGGTATATCAAGCAACAGATCAGAAAAATGCCAAATACTTAAACAGCACTTAAAATGCCAAGACATGTTAAAGGCAGAAGGTTGAAGTGAGACTCGGTGCTGCCTCAGAGCTGCTGCAAGTCAAGACTTGTTGAAATACCCCTGTGTGGAGCCCTGATGGTCAGAGAAACGAAAGAGGGAGAAGACAGTGAAGGAGTTGCTCCAGGTTGAAGTGATGCTGCTGGACAAATCTTGTTGGAGACTTGATCCAACTCTCCTGTCACTTAAGGCACAGCTGATAATAAGTTTGTCTGCCTGGCCAGCCTAAGAAAAGCAGCAAGAAGAGAATGAAGAGCTACCAACTGTGGTATTTCATGTATACCCAAACTCTGTCTTTGGGGAGATCTGCACAATCTTCCAGTAGCAAAGGCAGAATGATGGAATGCTTCCCTACCAAGTGGTCCTGAGGTAGGCAGCAACCTCTGTTACTCTGGTACCTGTATGTAGTGCAGATGTTCTTTAAGACTTATTTCCACAGAGGTCCCTGATCGGTACTAAACTTTCAACTTGTAAAGAATCTGTTAAAGATCCAGGTCCTTTTGTTAGTGGCCTACTGCCTCTTTCGAGATGACTACTGTGTGTGTTGAACAACCAGTTGCTAAAAAGCAACGTGTTGCTACCTGCTTGGTCTGATCAGGCTAGCACAAAGGCAGAGCCCTTCCTTCAGGCTGGCTCTGGTGGGACACGTGCATCAAGGAGAGTGCACTGAGAAAGGGAGAGCTGTGGCAGCACTCAAGTTTGTACTGAAGATGCCAAGAAGTTGCCCTGAGGACAGCAAAACCAGGGTAAAATGGCATATGTAGCACAAGAAGCCTTTGTCTTGGAGGCTGGAGCAGCTGGGTGCTTTGTAGTTGGACCATGAGTCTTCAAAAGGTTCAACTGCTTTCCATAGGTAACTCCTTCACAACATTCTCTCAGTTTAACATGCTAGGGTGAGATTATGGCTGTGGGTGTCTTGGACAGAGTTAAATACTTGGGATCAAAGCACCAGGAAGATGTCCATGATGCGCTCAGAGCTGGTGGGCATGAATGCTGCCTTGTAGAGCAGTCTGGGCTGTGAGAGCAACCTACAGGGTCTTTGAAAATGCCTCCAGCTGCAGACAGGTTATAGCTGAGGAGCCTGTGTGCTGTGGCCTCCGAAAGTAACAAAACAGGATGCAAAGATGAGTGCAGCACCCCAAAGATGCCTTTGGCTGCAAGGGCTCGCCAGCTACAGCCACAGCAGATGAATCCTTCTATGCTGACTCAATGCATTTAATCAAACCCCAGTCTGTTGGTCCTTTATTCTCAAGGGATGATGCCCCCAGCCATGTCTCACTGCCTGCTCCTGACGAGAGAGGATGTGCCTGGGGTGCTGCTTGATTGCACACTTCCCCTCCATTTTTTCCCTCTGCCTGAAGGAGAGAGGACAACCTACTTCCCTTCCACCTTGTGTCCCTTCTCTGTCCAACACAAAAATGAATGCACCAGTCAGGATAGGTCTGTTGTTGGCTGGCACTTGCTGAGCCATGTGGGGTCTCAGCTGACTGCTGGAAGCTGTAGGAGGTGCCAAAGCTGAGTTCACTGGTCAGACAGGTGGCAGAAAATGACTTTATTGATTTTCTGTGGCTAGATACGCCCCAGGCAGTGAGCGATATTGCACGAGGAATTAATGTACATTATATGCAGACCAGTGATAGCCTGCTTCCTCTGACTAACAACTGAAGTACTTTTCTTCACTTGCATTGCAATAAATGAGAGAATAGGGACAACAGTGTGCAGGACACTCAGGAGAAGATAAGGTAGCACAGTGAGGGCACAACAGCACTGCCTGCCTGTCTCTGGGTCCAATCTACCCTTGAAACAGCTAGGTTAGGAAAGTCCCCGGGCTCCCCAGCACTGCAGCTCGGTGTGCAGCCGCAGAGTGTGCAACTCCCCAGATGCTGCGGGTGTGTGTGGAAAGGTGGTCCTGCCCTGAAACGCTCTCTCTGAGTAAAAAGGTACTGCCACAAGTCAAGCCTTGCCCTTCTCTGCTCCTCATCTGTCCTTTTCAAAATAGAGATTATGGGAGAGCATACCTAACTCTAAATGCATTCATTGGGTTGGCCACATAAAAGACTTGCTCCACATCCACTGCTCCACATCCACTCCTCAGGTAAGCATGCAGAGCTGAGAGCGGTGAGCCCTCACCTTAGACAAGGCAGGAGGGATCAGCACCCTACTTGCCCCACCAAGGTCTTTGCCATTCTTCTTCCTTTGCAGTGTCAGGCCTTACAAAAGATGTTATTTTCCTGCCTAGCACACAGGGGACCTGTGCTGCCCTTGAAGCTTCATTAGAAGAGAGAGCCCCATCAACCCAGACCTCCCCACAATTTTGGGGAGTAGAAGCACTCTTCTGCCCCTTCCCATCATCACTTCTATCTCCAACCATTTCTCAGTACAGAGGGACCTGTAAGAACATGACTTCTAGGTAGGGTGGAAATATAATTTTACTTAAGGAAATAGATTTTACTTAAATAAACAAACAAACAAACAAACAAAAAAATACACTTACATGTTCAAATACCTCCTGAATTTCAGCATGGTGAGCTGGAGCCTTGGCTGGGGAGCGAGTGGTTATCATCAGACTGGGAGAATGGAAAGCAAACACCCGGAGCCTTGCTTGTGTGCCTGCGGCTGGTGGCCCCTCCCCGGGGGGAGCACCTGGGACGGCGAGCGCACAGCGGACTTCCCACTGGTGCCCTGCTCTCCAGTGCCTGCCCCAAGGAGCGACCAGCCTCTGCTCCAGTGAGTGGCACATTTACATGTCCATGTCCTCAAGGGCTGCTGGCAGCAAGCTGCCTTCTGCAAAGCACTGCCACGTCATGTGGAGCCATGGACAGGCTATCCAGGTGCTTGTGGACAAGGCAGGAGGTGGCCATGCCACCCATGTCTGCATCCCCACTTTACTCCTTGGTTTCACCCATGGCTGTTGACTTTCTTCTTTGATCCCTTGTGTCCTCCTCCTCTGCTCTTTGTGGTTGTCTCTTCTTTTCCCTTTTCATGTCCTGCTTTTGTTTCTTGGCAAAGCTGAGGACACAGATGGTTTGGTCATGACTGTTTAGCTCTTGATAATCACTCTGTTGATACAGTCTTGGTCACACCAGCATAGCATGGAGTTAATTCTCTCCAATGCAGCCTGGTTCCATCCACCCTGGGTTGAAGTTACGGCAATCCACAGCTCCCTCCTTTGCTTCTCCTCACTATACTTGCTGCTCCAAGCACAGCATTTAACGACCTGTGGCTCCAGGCTCCA